GCTCCTAGTGCTTAGATTCCACACAATCCAAACTGAATGTTTGAAACATTTTCAACCTAGATATCGTCATGCAAGTCGTTACACATGCTAGAGACTATGCATCTCTACTTGTCCCATTCCACGTGGATGTCAAACAGTATTCAGGTAGTGAAATATGGCTAGTTCATATTGAAAGTTTTCGTTTTTTTAGGTGAAAGGGTATCCCTAAATGATTACTTTATTCGGGGTTGTAAAACTCATATATTAACGTCGCATAAAGATTTAAGTACATACCTAGGTAGTTTAGTTTATGTATTTTAAATTAAAATAATATAGTACCGCTTTATTTATTTTTGTTTACGCATAATATGAAAAGTGTATGCATTTTATTTAAGATTAAGATAATCGGATTTGCAAGTTGTATATTAACTATTAGACATTTTTGTTAAAAACTATTTAAACATGTTTTTACCGAAACAATATGTTATTTCCGAGAATATTTATTTTATGTCGTTCTTTAGTAGTTGGTTTTCGAGATATCTACAGCGTGTTGTGAAATCTACTATATAATAGTACTCTGGCGCCTAGAATTTTACCCATCTGGACATTTACATTTATTTCTAATTACAAGAAATTACGCTTTTATTAAAAAGTAGCCCCGTGTACTTAATAAACGCTTCGTTCTCATCTTCTACAAAATTTTGCACAACAACTTTTTTAACATTCACTATGTGTTAATTTATTACAACACTACTCGAAGGGTTATTTGCTATTAAATATGGCGTATACGAAGAATAAAGTTCTTGAAATACTGAAATACCTGAATTAAACTGAAAAACTCTGAAATATAATGAGGTGGTTAAAATTATATTATAATAATTGAAAAACTAATGTAATACTTATAAATTATGTGAATTTTTGATATAATTCTCAAGTGAATTTGCAAAACCTGAAGTTCGAAACCTATTTAACTTTTCTACCACCATGTATTTATTCAACTACATAAATAGGTACAAAACAAAATAACTTTCTTAAAGACTACGTTAAAAACAGCATCTTAAAATGAATTTTCAAATATTAGATCGAAAATGCGTGTATACTAGAAGGATTATGAAATGTCTAGAATAAATTAATATTATGCCTTAATAAATGTTTGATTTCATAAATGTTCAACTTTAAATTTTACATATTTACTATTTCTCTATTGTGTTTCTAATCACTAAAGATAATTACCAAGTACATTCATGTAATACCTAGTATATTACTGATATAGCAATACTAGACTACCTAAAGTCGAAAGTTTCAGTAAAATGTAAGAAAAATTAAAAATATAGATGAAATACTAATAACATCTATAGGTAACTAAACTTAAAGTAATAAAATAAGTAATAAGTAAAATGGGATATAATTAAAAAAATGTATATATGAAAAATATAAATTATATAGTATTTATGAAACAATCTATGGTCGGTATTTCTGAAAAACTGAAAAACTTTTGAAGACTTTTTTTTTTACCTTTCCACATAAAATGTCTTGAATATACCTGTATATACTTGATATATTTTTTTTATTACATAATAAACAATGAAATTATTAAATTACTGTTCGACTTTTGTGTAATATTTTTAATTAAAAAGCTCAACAAAATATTTCAACGCACAAAAATAAAAATCATGTTTGAAAACCACCGTTCCACGTTTCGGCTTGATCAAGAAGTTTAATGAGAATAAAATAACACATACTCAACATAACTAATGTACTAAATAACACATAACTCTAGAAATTTTATTCCTCAGGAGGACCATAGATAGATATTTATTTAACTTTTAATTTTAGCAATAAAATTTTACTTTTTACGTGAAAAACTGTCTGTTTATGCTGAGGTTCGCGTTCGCAGCCATCTTCTTTTGCAAGCGAAATCGACCCTTATCAACCGACTACGCATAAAATAATAAATACAAGAAGAAGTGTCAAGTCAATGTTAAATTATGGAAACAGCGTGGCTGCCTGGGTAACTAATTTTCAGATATGGCGGCTGGGACATTTGACAAGACATAGACATGACAATTTCAATTTTATGAAATCTCTACTCTGCTTCCTGTTTTATAAATGGCGGGCTGTTCAGGAGGTTTAAATGAGGGTTAATATACTTTTTACTCTTTCTAGTAGTAAATAATACAACAAAATTACTCAAAAATATTTATTTGGAATTTAGAACAATGTAAATATGCAAATCAACACAATTAAAGAGCTATAATCCAATAAACTACTGTATCAATATCAAATATTTAAATAATATCAGAGATGCTGTGTTAAAGCGAATTAGTAAAGTAACAGTGCATTGACTTACAGAAACTTGAAGATAAATAAATGTTTTCACAGCTTCACGGACATAAAACTAAATAACTGGAAGCAGGAAAAAGGCAACCGGAACCCACACAAAACCTGGAATCAAAAAAAATATGTAAAAAATATAAATATAGGTACATAAGACTTTTGTGAATTAAATCAAACAGGACTTGAATGTAAATAAAATGAATAAAAAATATAATACATATACATCTAATACCTCATTTGTATTTTAAAAATAATCTACATACATAGATTTATAGCATTATTGCTATGAAAATACATAATAGGTACCTATGTAATATGTAATTACGCATATCTGTTCATCTTGTAGAAAATTAATGTAGGCTAATAATACTTCAATAATCATAATTTACCTTGTATAACTTGCTTTCAGTTGCTCAAAATCACCGATCAGTCTTTAAAGTAGAGATACGGAAAAATCCTTGGCAAAGAATATCCCAAGATCCTTGGGTTTAAAGCTAAAAAAATATAAAAACAGTTAATATATTACCTATTTTTACATATAATATGGCCCATACCTACTACACGCAGAAACGCGATTTCATCATTTTCTCATGTAATTATCACATATGCTTTATTAAAGTGTTAAAAAAGGAAACTTATATCAAAAAACATCTTTGTAATTCCTATAAATTTCTGCCGAAATATCAGAAACAAACTTCCAATCAAATCTAAACGGCAAAAATTAAAATGGCGCCCGACCTTGCCAGAGGCCTCGGGAGCTGACGCTGACACACAGACAAAAGACAAAAGAAGAGGACGCCGACGTGCATAAAAATGTTCCGTAGCAGAAATTGACAGAAATCATATAGAAATATTCAGATTTTTGTCTAGGACAGTCTAGAAGGCCATGCTTTCTGCCTGGGTAGAACCGCACCAGAACCAGAACTGCTTCCAATTTTCCGGTTTACTGTCACCCCCCTGCGACTACGGTCTACGGTAGCGCCCTCTCTTCGAGACCTCTTGAACCACGAGGCGATTCATATCACCGAAATCCAAAAATCCGAACAATTACTTTAGACTCAAATCTGTCTCTTGGCAACAATTTTTACTGTATAAAAATACTACCTTAGAATTTATCTCATAATTACCTTAGAATTTATCTCGATTTTTTTTAGCCATTTTTAAAATACCTTTTAGAAGAGATTTGTTCAGATAATGTGTTGGCTCACTACCTTTTCCTGTTATCTTCCGGAGTCTGTAACTTGCAGGGGTGATATGACGCTTCTTTCCAGCACTGTTTTTTTTCGCTAATATCTTCGAGCAATAGAGCTAGCAGAATGATTCCTCCGGTTTTCTTTTCGCCCTTCGCCGATCCGACGACGGTATCCGAAATCCGACGGGTACCCGTATCTGAGACGACCGAATAGATCCTTGAAACCGACGCGACGCGACGCCTTTACGAAACGATAGTCTCAAAGGTCAAAGTCAAGTCAATAGTCGTCAGTAAGTCAGAAATACGCCGTTACGGCCTAAGAACGCTGGATTAAACTCATCGCCACTTCTGATGTAATCGGGAGATTAATATATTTAACTGAAATTGATACTTAAAATATAATTCTAACTAGCTTGGCAAACAATGTCTTCTCTGGGCCGAAATCAACAAAACTCCGACATTCAACTGTTTCCAAAGCCTACTACTCCGCTACTCGCAAACATCAGCGGACACGGGGTGCAGGCACGGCGTGAAAATGACTGCCTATCATAAGGATCATAGGCGTCCATAACAATTTTATTTCTATTATATTTTTTAGCAAAATAAAACACTAAATCACCATAATACACCAAAACATTTTTACTTTTACACTGGACGAGTGTTTCGCTAACCATGTTATTATGATAGCGTGTACAAGTAAAGCAGTACAGTGAAGTGTATTTTAGTTAAGTGTGTATCGAAAAAAAGAATTTTTGTGATTTTATGACTTATTTTTAAACATAATACTTTCTAATCCATATGGCAACACAGGGCGTCGAACTTATCTGAGATGCCATTTAAAAATGGCAAAGAGAAAATATGTTTCTTTTGACCAAATCTACCACCCCTTAAAATACATGCACTTATTTCTGGAACACCCTGTATATAAATTTATATAAGGAATATCATCGATCGTCATTTCGCACTCAACTGGACGTCGTTGTTTCTCGATCATACGGTATAAGGTATGAACTTAAATAGTTCTTTATTTTGATTTTCAAAAGTATAATTGTTATATTGGTTGTGTAAAAAGGAGTTTGGGTAATGATATGATTCTACGAGTGGTAGTTTAGAAGTTGATTGATTATTTTGAAATAGTGTATTAAAATTATCGTCTTTTAAAAATTAAATAGTGATCTTACATAATTATTATTTTTAAACATTCTTGAGTTCGTGCGTTTAAATGGGTTTTGATTTTGTTATTAAAATTATTTACTAATAAACAATTCATAGTGGTTTGACAATCTTTTTTAATAATTACATTTAATTTTGATTATAAGCCCCTACTTTCAGAAAATGGACAGATTCTAGGTATGTATAAGAAACTAACTGCGTCAAAACTTCCGGTTCTCTATTTTTTATTCTTTCGTCAAATTTCAACGAAAGTTATGGACTATATTTGCTAAAAATTAAATTAACAATAAAACGACTAGAACATTGATACTACTTTAATTCTAATATTTATTTTCTACAGCCAAAAATAAATTACTTAAACAAATATGCATATTTTCCAATATCGTTGACCTATGTTTTTTTACAATAATTTTAATATTAGTTATATGCCAGTCAAATTAGATTTATTAAAGAGGTCACTTGAAACAAAGTGTTGTAAAAATCTTTATTGATTTGATTGGTTTATTGGCGTGAAATAGAAGGTTTCTAGGTTTGCACGGTTGCCAGACCGACGTTCGACTCAGGAGAGTTCGACTTTGGGAGGCTCAAAAGATGGTAAAATTCTTGGACTCTTCAGATTTTCGCCTAAACGTTGCATTCTAGCGAATATTTCAGTATAACATAAATTAAATAAATTAAAGGAAAATTAATTTGTATTAGTTCTGTCGAATGTATATATTCTATGTCGATGAGATTCATTAAATTCTGTTCAGTACTATGGCTAAACTCGAAAGTTGAAAATTGGTGGTGATATTTATCCATTTTGCTGAAAATTCATTAAAGTGATATTGAATTGTCCTTTACAAAAAAAAACGTCATTCTAGTTAGAAAAAATACAACAAAAGTTACAAAGCATCAAATTGTGGGTTTATGTTAATATATGTTGAGTTTAAATATCTTTGTACCTTTTCATTCCTTCTACCTCTGTATGAAATTAGTATGTGTATGAGATAGTTTCCATTCTGTTAAAAATCTGGCCTTTAAGGATTTTTTAATAATTCTAGCTGAACTGAGAGATGACAAAGATGTGCTTTGTCTTATTTGTCTCGTAATTGATCTAATGACGGAAGAGGCGAGAAGCCACCCGACTTGTGGTAAAAACATCGTTTTGAATCCATCTAGCCTCGTTCAGAAGATAAAGTGATAACCGTGTTGATGAAGATCCGTGGCAGTTAACCCCACAGGAGGAGGCAGTTAATCTTTTGGAGGATTATTCTTCAAAGACCGTAAAAGTTCGCTTGAAAAAACGATAATTTAATAGACCAAATGACCAAAAACAAAATTAATCGTTATATCGATTAAGATGTAATCGTAAAAATATTGATCGAATCGAAATAACATCGTAAACACATCGTAAAAACATTGATTATAAAATGTCAAATGAAAAGTGGTATCAAGAATATATAATAATAGACGATCGCCAACGAGAACGTGGTTAAAGTTGACATACAACGCATGATATGCACACTGCACTCTTATCCCAAGCTGGCTCATTTTTTGAATGATTTAGATGAAGACATTCCGAAACCTTTGAAGATTGTTATGCACAATATAGTAACGCTAAAAAATAAACGTACAGAACATATTAACACTAACGCCACAGTCATTTTCCACTTTGTTTTGCGAGATATCTCCCTTTTTTAGCAAAGTGATTAAAGAGTTATCTTCAACTGTTAACCGTGCAAACCTAGGAAACTTCTATTTCACGTCAAATGAACCAATCAAATCAACAATTAGCTTTCCAACGTTCTTTTCCAAGAGATCGCTCTAATTTGATTGGCGTATTATGAATTATAAGCTTGTGGGAAATATATTTTCTTACGTTTTTTATACATATCTTGCATAATTCTCAGGATCTACTTAATATGTAACATTACTTTGATTAGCTACTTTTTTTTCTAAAAAGAAATAAAGGGTATTCTAATAAGAGGTTTTGGATGTTGATAACGAATAAAATAAAAATTTCATAACATACCCAAGAGTTATTTATAGCAGTGCTTAGCTGGAAAGAGTACAATTATACGTGGAATACAATAAATACCAAATCACCACCAAGTCACCACGACTTCTAATCCTTTTGTTGAATTTTTCCATTACTGTTAAACACATTTCTGGCGTTATGTATGTTACGAATTATTCGCCTAATTTCTTCTTTCAATTGTTGAGTTGTTTGCCACGAAATCCCGATGCATGCTCAACGTGTGTGCTACCAGGGAAGTTGTGTATGTTGGGTCATTTGGCAGATATTGTGTTCCACGTATAATTGTACACTGTCCTGCTACGCACTGCCATAAATTACTTTTAGGTATGTTATGAAACTTTTATTTTATTCGTTATTAACATCCGAAACCTCTTATTGGAATACCTTATAGTTTATATAACAAAAAATAGACAATGATTGACAGAAAATATCCAGTACAATACCGATAACATGAGTAAAATATTTAAACCTTTCTGGCTCTGTTTCTGGTCACTGACCTATGAATCTTTCAAATACGTTGACATATGTTTTCAAAAGTGTAAGTATCCTACATTCCGGGTGTTGCATCGTCGAGCAATTATTGGTTTCCCTAATTATTTTAGAGAATAATTCTATTTAGGTTTATTGAAGAGCATTAAAACCCACATTCAAAAGAATAACTTTAGATATTTTTGATTAGCCCGTTTCAATAATAATACAGCACTAAATACGCCGTTTTTTTTTCGATCATACGGTATTAAACTGACTTCGATTTTATTGTTATCATGAAACAAACAAAAATTAAAAGAGACTGGTGCATGGTGTATTAATGTTTTTATGTATGTTTTCGCGATTGTACTGTAAATTTACATATTCCTGTTGATTTCTTGACTAATTAATGAATTATAACATATGAATTAATAAAAAAAACATTAACTCATATTTTTCATTTTACATTATATTACTCCGATCACTAATTCATGTGAAAATACTATTTCAGTTTACATGGCCATTCTATACGAGATCTAGAAAATTACCATTAAACTTGTCGATTAATCAGTTTTTGTTGTTTACAACTAAGTATTGTAATTAATTATAATTACAATATCTAGTTTGCATATTGTAACTAACCATGTATCACATGTAATATATAAAATTAAAACCAGGTAAGATAATTTTATCATATAAGTACTACGAAGTATCTTAATGTTTAGTGACCATAATAAGTCCTCAATAATCTTATATTTTTTAAAAATGTTTACTAATTATTGTCGATTTCTTCATGAATTTTTACTTTTATTGCTGGCTTACAAATAAATACGAAATATAACATATGTATAATATATTTTGATCGCAGTTTGCAGCAACAGCAAGTGAAACCTAACTGTACTCATAGATATTTTTTTTAATCAAAATATATTTTCAATTAAAATGTATATATTATTGCACTTTAACCACAAGAAAGTAGTTAACTTTTTCATGCTTCTAATAAAAAAAACATATATTTTCTTGATAATACAGTTGGCATTAGTTGTGCGATTTACATGGATAGAATGTTATAAAACAGGAGTACGAAAATCCATAAAAAAATTGCTTAGTCATCATTTTAAAAACTATGTACAGTACTTCTTATTTGGAAAATTAAGCCTTTAAAAATTCTCCGCCGCAAACGGAGACTTAAACTATTATTAGTCTATTAGGAATGTTTTCTTTATTTCGGTGTCTTATGGAAGAATGTCAAAATACAAATGATTTAAAAATAAACTTATTCTAGTAGACAGTTTAGTCTAAAATTTCCAGTTCAAATTTGCCTTAAAACAACACTGGTAATGTTAAAATGTAATTAAATTTTATATGAAAATAAATTAACGAAATGTGCTCAAGAAAAAGAACTGTGAATACATTGCGTGATTAGTCGACAAGTGTAATCCCCTACTGAATACATCCCTAATAAATATCGAAAATTTAACAATACTTTTTTTAATAATTTAATTTAAAATTCAATATCGTATTTTTTAAATACCAAAACAATAAAGCTTTATTGGAAAGTGATGATATTTCAATGCTAAAATTATTCTATGGATATACATATTTTACATACATATGTTTACAACGCCCCAAATGGATCGAACGTAGTTGGCTGAGATGGCTCCATACTCCATCCTATTTTTTGGCTATCCATCATTTGATGATCTGGAGGGGCCGTAGCTGAATTTACTATTGCAGGATCTATTCCAGCTGGAGGAGGTATCGCTTGTTGTGAAATGAGATGCGATTGCGTTGAAGGCATAATCTGTGGATCGACCATTGGCCGATATGATGCTGCTGTAGTTGCTGGCAAGGGTTGGGGCTGCCAGCCAGTCGATCTTTGTTGATTCTTGGGTGAATTCCATTTACTACCTCCAGAGTCAATTGCTAGGTTTTCTACTAAAGAATTTAAACTTGTTTCTAAATCGCCAGTCAGCAATTTTGACGGTTGCGGGGGGCGTTGTGGAGGCAGGGAAGCTTGTGCTGGTACTGGAAGAGGGATCTGTTGATCTGTTGAAACAAGTGGATCAAATACAGAGGGTCCATTAGCATCGAAGAGTCCCGTAAGGTTACCAAAGTTTTGTTGTGTTATTTGAGTAGGTTGAGATGTAGGAGCGTAGAAGGCATTCGTTGATGGAATGGAATTTCCCCACATGCCTTGATTAGTTTGTTGCGGCAAAGTAGATTGCGATGAGAAAAAATCTGGCACGCCATTTGATGTTCCACCAGTTGTGTTTGGTGGGGCTGGAGCGGAAAAGAACGGATTGCCTAAAAAAGTAATATTTTAAAATTTTATTATTGCAAGCATAAATATTTCGAATACCCATTAATAATTATAAACAGTTGCTACACTATCTCCGAAATGATTTACTAAATATTTCGTGAAACATTTCGCACAATATTTCTGAAAATAGTACGATAAAAATATAAGTCTGTGTTATAAAAATTAGTTCCCAAGTTTCCTGAAATTGATCGAGACCTGCCGTGATTGTTTGTTTGTTTTTTATTGTTAACCCAAATTAACAATAAAAAACGGACCTGCATTTTTTATTTCAGTAAGAGTGCAATATGATATACCACACCTGATACTTTTTTTGTTTTGGGTACCTTAACAATAACAAAACTATTTAATTATTATTTAAAATAATTTCAAGTCCGTCTCTGGTCTTTTAAATTATTTAATCTGATTATATTCATCGCAACAATATTGATCGGCGCTAATTAACATTAAATAAGGAAAATCGAAACAATTAAAAGATTCAAATAAATAATATCCATGGATCCATGGAATACCATGGATAAATAATATCCTGCAGGTCAGCAATTTAAAAAAAAATATTTTTAACTTTTTTTTATTATGGATTTGAAATCTCAGTATACGATTTAATAATATGATATAATAATAATAATAGCTCCCGTATATAGCGTTTAACGCCTTGGGAGTAGCAAGATACAGCTTGTCATACTAGAGCCGTTCGGTATACAAGGAAGGTAATGTGGCTAGCATAACACTTCAACCGCCTATTATTAGCTCAGGATTGTGAATCCAAGTACTCATTTAAGGCTGAGTCGACTTAGGTATCCAAACTATTTTTATTTTATTAAAAATAGTCGGCTGATAAAATGCCGGGTGTGGGATTCGAACACACAACCTTTGAATTGGTAGACGGGAGCTGTACCTCTACGCCACCGGGCACCACAAGTTACATCCTGTACATTAGGTTTAGTACACATAAAAATGTACTTGCTTTGTAATCAATGTAATCTTATAAATACGACTTAAACTGTACAATTCGTTTGAGTCCAATGTAGATCTTAGAGCTGTTAACTTCGGTTTTTATTAAATAAAACATTTTTTAAAAACAACTTGTCTCGAGTTTCTCATTTAACTGGCGCAGTCGGTAGGATATTCCGGAACGCGGAGTGTTAAATAGTACCGATTTAAGGTGAATATTCGCGCGTTCGCTTCCAAGTGTTACTCGGAATACGCCTTCTTCCTGAAAGAAAAAATAGCACCGATTTAAGGTATCTTCAGGATTCCAACGTTACTTGGTCACGAGAGGCAAGAAAGAAGAAAACACCGAAGACTTCGTTGGCTCCACAAAACAGTAGGTCTTCAAGGGAATATTGGGGATCTTCTGTCTGGCTGTCTGGAAGGACAAACATCGCCGTCCAACAGTACGTCTGGTGAGGACAAACATCGCCAAGCCAGACATAGTTAAGAAGAAACCGTAGGTTAAGAAGAAACAACAAACAAAGAAAAAAGAAACCCACAGCAGGAATGTCTACAAGCATCACACTGTAAGTAGAAGATTTAGTTTAGAAGTTTAGAATTTTTGAAGATTTTGTAAGGTTTGGTGCTATACGAAATTTCGTGACTTTTCGTGATTTTCGCGAAGCTTCTTGATAAAAAATTAAAAAATACGCCTTTCGGAACTAATCAAGTCAGAGAGTTTGTGACAGTAAATTTAGTTTTAAGATAATCTCTTTTAAATTTTGTCACTATAAATTAATATTTAAGGATACATATCGTTTTTTCTCTCTTCTAAGTGTATTTCGAAAGAAAGCAAGATTGACGAAATAATAAACGATATTATCAATAATTTAACCGATCTTTCTATTGATAATATTGCAAATCAGATAATAATGCCAGAAACAAATTACAATTTATTACGTTTTCAGTCAGATAATATTCCTAAATTGGACGGGAATCCAAAATTATTACAAAGATATTTAAATTCATGTGAAAATTTAATAAAAGCTTTTCAAGATATTGCAAATCCCAATGCACAAATTAACATATGTCTCACAGACACTGTCTTAGGAAAACTAACTGGTAGAGCAGCTGATCTTATTGTCTCCCGCTCAGAACTAAAAACATGGACTGATATTAAAAATACATTAATAAATTGTTTTGCTGATCAAAGATCAATTGATTGTTTAATACAAGATTTAATTAATTTAAAACCATTCAAAAATGAATCTCCTATAAATTTTGGAATGCGTATCCAAGATTCACGCAGTTTACTATTTTCAAAATTAAATGCAACAAATGAACTTGCAACTGAAAAATTAATGAAAATTCGACATTATGAAGAATTTGCTTTAAAAACTTTTATAAATGGATTGCCTTATAATCTTCAACTAATTGTAAGATTAAAAAATCCAGATTGTCTAGAAAAAGCCATGTCTTTCGTTCGAGAAGAAGAAAATTTCCTATATTTCAAAAATCACTCGTATAATAATACACATACACAACAATCATTAAGACACCCAACACCTCAAACAAAACCACAACATAATTTTAAATCGAATATTCCTATTTTTAAACCTAATTATCAACCAATGTATAGTCGATTTAATAATAATAATCACCAAAACTATTCTAATTATGGCATGATGGATAGATTACCGGATACACGAACATATATGCCAAGGCAAAATCAATTTAATAATCAACCAAGTACATCTAATCAATTTCAAAGAAATTTACCAAATAATAATCAACAATTTGGAAGACCTAATTTTGGACAAAGACCAAATTCAAACAATTTTGGACAAAATAAACCAAGTTCGTCTAATAGTAGACTAAATAGAGTTGAACCAATGGACACGAGTTCAGGAAACACTGTTTTACACCAAAATATTATAACACGTTCAGATACAGAACAAGCTAACAGACAAAATAACACTCAAAATACAAATAATGATTTTGAAAACACTAATAATGACTTTGAATATAATAACACAAATGAATGTTCTTATAATTATCCAACTATGACTAATTTTAATGATCAATTTTATGATGAACAATATAATCAATATGACTTAGAAAATTTTAATCAAGAAGAAGTTTTAGAATCTCCTGAAGATCAAAATTTTCAGATGATTTCGACTACACAACCATCGATATAGCATATCTAAATAATTATTCTATTGAATTACCTTTTATTATTTTACCTGAGTTGAATGCAAAATTTTTAATTGACACAGGTAGTACAAAAAGTTTCATAAATCCAGAAATTGCTTATAATTATTTTCAAGATTTTATTAAAGAAGAAATTTTTCAAGTTCAAACTGCACATGCTGTTTCTTTTCATAATGAAGTTGCTATTTTACCTATATTTCCAAGTTTTAATTCACCTGGTATACATAAATTTTATTTATTTAATTTTTCAAATAAATTTGACGGTCTCATAGGACTAGACTCTCTAATGCAATTAAATGCTAACTTAGATTTTAATTCTCTCTCTTTAAAAACGCCTAACACGCAAATTCCAATTGAATATCAGACTAAAATGAATAAACCTATTATAAATAATAATATACAGAATTGTACTCATGTAATTTCTCCTAGAAGTATACAAAAAATTAAAATACCTGTAAAATTAAATAATGGATATGGAATTTTAAAATATCAAAAAGCAAATGAAATTGAAATACCTGAATGTCTTGTAAAAATCGAAAATAACTTTGCATTTACTACTATTTTAAATAATTCTTCAAATTCTGTAAATGTATCATTTATTGAACCTTTTGACATTGAACCAGTAAATATAAATGAATTAAATTTTATTAATTCTGACAATAATATTGAACAAGTAAATAAAAATCAAGATAATTTATTAAAATCTAATTTAAAAAATTTAAGACTTGATCATTGTAATTCTGAAGAAAAACAAGCTATCAGAAAATTATGTTTAGAATTTCGAGATATTTTTCATCATGAAGATATACCTTTATCTTTTACTAATGCCATTAAACATGACATAAAATTAAAAAATGAAACACCTCTTTATACTAAAAGTTATAGATATCCAGAAGTACATAAAAATGAAGTAAAAAGTCAAATTAATAAATTACTTTCTCAAAATATTATAAGACCTTCAAATTCACCTTGGTCTTCACCAATTTGGATAGTACCTAAAAAACTAGACGCATCAAATAAACAAAAATGGCGTATGGTCATTGATTATCGAAAATTAAATGAACAAACTATCGACGATAAATTTCCTTTACCAAATATAACTGAAATTCTAGATAAATTAGGCAAAGCTAACTATTTTACAACATTAGATCTTGCTAATGGTTTTCACCAAATTGAAATAAATTCTAATGATATTTCTAAAACTGCCTTTAGCACAGATACAGGACATTTTGAATTTTTAAGAATGCCCTTTGGTTTAAAAAATGCTCCAGCAACATTTCAAAGAGTAATGAATAATATTTTAAGAGGTTTACAAAATGAAATTTGTTTTGTTTACTTAGATGATATAATTATTTTCAGTACTAGTTTACAAGAGCATATCGAAAAGTTAAGAAAAATATTTTCAAGATTAAGAACTTATCGTTTTAAAATACAATTAGATAAATCTGAATTCTTAAGAAAAGAAGTTCAATATTTAGGACACATAGTTTCTCAAGAAGGTATTAAACCTAACCCTAATAAAATAAATGCTGTAAAAAATTTTCCAATACCTAGAAGCCAAAAAGAAATTAAATCATTTCTTGGTTTAGTAGGCTATTATCGTAGATTTATTAAAGATTTTGCAAAAATTACAAAACCTTTAACTAAATGTTTAAAGAAAAATGCTAAAATAATTCATTCTAAAGAATTTGTTGATTCTTTTGAACACTGTAAATCTTTATTAATAAATTCTCCAATTTTACAATATCCTGATTTTAATAAACCTTTTATTTTAACTACTGACGCAAGCAATTATGATTTAGGCGCAATTCTTTCTCAAGGAACTGTTTCAAACGATAAA